ACAAGCTCAAACACATGTTTAACCGATTTTGTTGTGCGGCGCGACGCAAATACCGTAGGTTCGACTAACGACTTGGGACCCAGCGTTCACCATGTGTCTTCCAGATTTTTAAATGTAAAGTTTATGCATATGTGAAAATTGGAGATGCGTCCACCGATCGGGTTCTGGATATGCTCGTCTCCTTGTGTCGTGAGACTCAATCTGTAGTCCATGAAAGTAGTCGCCTAACACCCGTAAATATGTGCTGATAGGAGTGCTGATGAAAAATGAGGGGACTGAAACGGTCGTTTCCGGCTTATTAGCCGTCATCAGCCAGCCGTGCCAACCCCCGTGTTCGTGGGACCCGGGTACTTTGGACATTGAGAATTTAATCGTCCAAAGTCAGGGCAGATCAGCATATTACTTTCTAAAATAAGTTTCACAAGTTTATACGTATTACATTGGGCAAAATGTAGCGGCTTGAAAGGCTGTCAGCTGGAGGGAGAAGTCGTTCTTTTCGATGATTGAGTGTAGGGCTCCATGGTCGTTTCGTGGCCTCCACGACATTCCCAGAGGTCCAGCACGTGTAGGGCGGATCAGGTGGTCTGTGGCGTGCCTAAAGTGACCGTTCATTTGTTTGACCTACTGCACTCGAACCCACCTCTGACTGTGTTGCACTTGTCTTCTCATCGGAGTAAGGTGAATGAGGTATGAAAGAGTGGGGTTTATGCTGTGCAGATGGGCCTACCTTAACCCACGTCTCGCGCAGGTTCCACCTAATCGAGCTGCGATAGACGTCGTCACATGCGGCTGTCGTACTGTTATGCAGCCGACAGTACCCGACATTAAATAGGAACGGTCACCCCTACAAAAACGCTTGAATTCTCCGAAATTGTCATGCTAACACGCAATAGACCGAGTTATCTCGTTAGTTGACAACTCTTCCAGTTACGACTTTTAGCGCTCCGCGATAGCTTCAAGCGCTTCAGATTGTTCATAATGAGGAAGATGAGCTGAGTCGTCGACCAAGGCCACAGCCACCGTCTGAGATGGTCAGTTGGCTGGTGCGTGGAATGGACGTAGTGGCAGACCCGTCTGCGCGTGCCACGTACGCGACCTGGCCTACCAAACACCAGCGCTAGGATCTCTCAAACAGGGACTGGGCGACATGCATATCCCATGCGTGGGGGTCCCAGGGGTCACGTTAAAATTGAGCCGTTGCACAGTCTGGCTCTCAGTCCACAAGTCGACCACTCCGCAAAAACACGCATTGAACTCGATGGAGGGACATAATCCGGTGTTCAAAACTTTTCTAATGTCCGAATAATTTGGAACCCGCTCTACCGTTCCACTTGAATTCAGGGTTTCCAAACTACAAGCCGTATATTTTCCGCGTAGGGAAAACTACACATTTCTCTACGGTAATAAAGGGGGACTATATGGGGGTTCATAAAATTAAGCAGTGGATTTGATCCAAATTGTTAACTTTACAAGCCGCATTGGTAAACGAAGGGACATGACGATTTATGAACGGTCATTTCACAGTATTTAAGAGTCTCGTAATTGGAAACTTTTCTAAAACCGCATTGTGTCCCTCCTTCGAGTTTGAAATTGAAAGAAGACGTAATTATCTACTGAATGAGCGAAAGAATGAATATTTTTATGCAGGTTTTCCATGAAATATAATTGGGCATTTAGGGGCGTCGAAAATCAATGAGAAAACTTCATGCTACATAAATAGTTTTTTTTCACAGAGTGTAATTTTTGCATGCAGCCAGAAGGAAATCCCTTTGAAAGATGACATCCTGAGGTAACTGAGATATTATAGAATTACGTAGCAGGCCGGCTAGTTTTACAACCCTACTTAATTAATATTTTCGAAACGAAAACACATTTTGGAATTTCGGTTAACATTTCATGAGTTAGCCCACCTACTATACGTGGTCTACTTCAGTAAGAAGGTGCTCACCGTCCCGACTTAGTGATAATCATCTCAGTTCCGAGTTCGTTGAACTTTGTGCCCACCTACTGTAGATAAGGAAAGAGGCACTGAAGCCTGACTGTCAATCCACCAGTCCGCCACTAGCACGCACTGGGCTGACTGCGAGGTTCGACTGGTCCCCTCAGTTGGAAATCTTCCAAGCC